ATTCGTTGGCTCTGCAAACAGTTTCTTTCTGAGAGTATGACAGGGGCTTCCAAAGACAATTGATAGTAGCCAAGGTCATGTCTCACTGTCAAACACCTGTAAGGAAATGAACTGGGGATTAGTTTTGGTAATCTCAACAATAATAGATTCTTTCCAAAGGATCCAAATACCCCCCGAAAAACCCATAGCCTCGACATAAATCCAGTCATTAAAGCCAAAACTAGAGCAAATCCTATTGGCTTGGTTACCCGAGACCTTAGGTTCGAGTAAGCAAATCATAGATGGATTGTAGACACGGGAATAGTGTTCGAGGGTGCGCCTAAAGGATCTCGAGGCCGCACCATGACAATTCCAAACAATAAATATCATAAACAGAGAGAAAAGAGAAACAAAGCGCGCTTAAGAGCGCATGTGGCTATCCGCCACCCGACCCTCCTGGGGATTCATGTGGTCTTGTTCCTGCATTGCCTCATCCAGTGGCTCTTCGAAAACAGTAGGGTGATGCGCAACATCAGGGGGATAATCCAAATAGGTATTTTCTAGTCCTGCCATGAACGAGGACTCAGGGTGGTCTTCAGCGTGGTAAACCACTGTAGTGGAAATGTTTTTCCCATGAGTTGTGCCTCTCATGACAATGTGTTCCACTTCAAAAGCAGTGCGGTTTGGGGTTCCTCCCCTACCACGATTGCCCCTTAGACCTCCACGCGAAACAGCAGGAGGTTGTCTTGTTGGCTCCATTTGTCTCGCATTTCCTTGATCTTCAGTCACCCTAGTCCTCTGAGCATTCTGCCTAGGTGGGGACCTCCAATTTGTTCTGATTCTTGGCAAATTTTGGGCAGGCTACTACATTTCCATGACTCTGTCTTGGCTTCTGTCCTCATTGTCTCTTCGTTCGTCATCCAGTCCATCTAGAGGAGCAAACCGAGAATTGATCCCTAATTCCGTGGCGGTCGGTCGATTAGATCCAGGAGCTGGCTGGCCTCCACCACCTTGAACCCCAGGGGCCGGTCTGTTGGCTACTCTTGGGTTTTTAGATTCATTTATTTCAATAAAATGTCACCTTATTACATTTTTACCAGTAATATTTTGATAACCGACTAATCAACTTAATACATCAATTTGACAAGTTAATGTGTCTAATTAAAATTTTTAATCATTTAAAAATTTAATTACTATTTCACCCCGTAATGTGATGAATTATTTGACCTTTTTGTCCAATTTAGAAGTTAACGGCGGAAACGGGATTTGTGTCAGGGTGCACGATATAATTTGCCCCGACTAACTGGCCAACTAGTCTCTGAGTTGGGCGCTTAACTCCGCCTAGTTGCCGCCCAACTAGGCTGTTTGGCACCAAACTCGACCGAGTGGTATTTTTTGCCTGCTCGGTTGCTCCTCCTCCAGTCATATACTCAACTAACGATCTAACATATGTGATTGACTAGTTTGTGGGATTATAATAATCTAACAATTCACAACATTGAGTTAGAAAAATAGAAATGATATACTTGAATTACTCAACCGCCTAGGAGATGCTTAGGCGCTAGGCGTTCCCTGGCACCCGATTAGCGCCTAACGCCCTTTGCAACATTGCCTTTTTATTATTAAAAGAGAAAAAAAAAAATAGGAAAACTTGCAAGTTGCAAGTAGGAATATAAAAATAAATAAGTGGGACTTTTTTGTGGATATATAATGGGGAACAACCATGCAAGAACATGGAAAAATGGATGCAAGTACCAGAGTCCCAACTTGGCACATGCTAGCTCATGCCCAACATGTCAACCCTTTAATCTCTACGACCAAGGCACATGATCACGGGCCAATGAATCCATCCACAAATCCAAAATTCCAGAATACGAATCGTTTATTAACTTGAGAAAGTTTATTTTTATTTATTCTCTAAAAAGTAAAAATTTAGAAAGAAGAAAATAGATAATATTTTAATATGTACATTTTAAAAATAGAAAATTAAAAAGAAAAAACAATAGAGAATTAAAGTAAATGTGTAATTGTTCAAAGAAAAATATTAATTGTACTTCTAAAAGTATATATTTTTATTATATAGGTTACATTAACTGTGCAGAAAGGAAAAGAAAAACTGACTACACTTTAAAAGTAATGATGAATTAACACATTGTAAAATAAGAAATAAAATAAATAAGTGAATTAGCATTCAAAAAAAAAAAAGTGAATTAAAACTCTTTCCGGGATTATTTTGACTTTAAATAGTTTATATTATTAAAAAATAAATGCCAAAGTCTAAAAATATAATAAGTGTAAATGAAGGTTATACCATTTATTTATGTTTGTTTTTCAGTTACGTTTTTTTAATACATTATGCTATAAAAGTTGTATTATACAATATTTTGGACAAACATACCCCTACCGTTATAATTTCCGTTATCTTTTCCACTATTGTTACCATGCACATGCATTCACGATACCTATTTTCTTTATCTTCTTCAATAATAATAATATATACACAATATATATTGGAGTTATATGTTAGTTATTTGCTAAAATATAAATATCAAATTTATAAAAATGTTTTAGATTATTATTATTATTATTATTATTATTTACAATAATTTAAATATCTAAAATCTAAAATTTTAATAAAAAGTACTAATATTGAGCATCTATTTTTGCGCATCGCGCATAGGAAATACTAGTTAGTAAAATAAATGGTTATTACTAATTATTAATTATACATAATAATATGGAGGAGTCAATATATAATTTCTTTGGGATATAATTTTTTTGTTTAATTAACACTTGTGTTTATGTGTATTATGTTAAGAGTTTATGTGTACTATGTATTATGTTAGATTATGTGTATTATGTTAGGAGTTTATGTGTATTCTACTATACAATTCTGTACATACGAAACATGGATTTTTTTTAAGAAGTTAACTACAGAAACGGGAAACAACGTCGTTTTGGCCAAGGCACGCAATGCATTGTGTGCCCTGGTGCAAGATATCATTTGCTGTATATAGGTCGAGTTGGCAACATGTTAGATATTTTAGGTACTCGAACCTTAATAGGACAGGTTCGGGTAGTAGCAGAGTGATAAGCAATAATTTCACTTAGTGTTACACTTCATTTATCCTTATTTAGTGAGGTCTAGGGAACTGCCATCTACACCGATAACTCGAGGTCGCCCTCACAGGCGTGAGGTCGGTCGTGAGCACAAGTCCAAAATGTTAAAGATCTGTTCATTTTGGCGTGAATTGGGGGCATAAATATATATATCTCTAGGTAATTATTTTCATATCACTATCCATTTTCCATTCTCTCCAAGATTTCTTTGGGGAGGACTTCTAAAATAACATTTATCCTTGTAATTGATCTACATTTGATGAAATTTTGAAGTGATTTTCAGCTTGTAATTCTAGTTTACTTTCAATTTCAAGATTGTATCTCTAATTTATCACTTGATCAAAGTTAAATCTTCCTTTATATTTTCTTCAACTCAATTGTGATTGCAATGACTGCCATTTCAATTTGCGTTTGTTTTTCAATTCAAATTATGAATAGCTAGATTCAACTAGGGACTTGGATTGAGCTCTCTTGGTATAGATGCTTGAGTGAATAAATTGCAATTGATGATGATATGATGCATTAGCTAGGGCTCTTATTGTGAGTTAGTGCATTGTATGGACTATGTATAATCAGGACCCGACTATACAAGAGGGTCATGGATGTGCGTTGTTGCTATGATAATAGGACAACACTATAGCCACGCTACTCACATTTCCAATCTTTCTTTGAGAAAAGGATGTTGGAAGAAGATGTGAACAGTATTATATGTTTGATGAAATGCACCAATTGAATTGGATTGCCATGATAATGGGATCTAATGCTAATTGGTAGTCCAATGACCATGAGAATGACTTTGGCATTTAATAGCATCTTCGTTGATCCATGTTAATTCATCACATAATCTCTATCCTTGGAAAACTCTATAACATCTAGACAAGAATAGCTTGATCCAAGTCCCTACTTTTACCTAGCTATCATTTGTTAATTGCCTTGTTATTTTGCATTATACTCAGTTATTCTTGAATGTCTTGCAATCCAACTATTTGAACTAGCTTTCAAACACTCGACACTTTCTTGATTAACCACTTACTATTCGCTTCCTTTCGATCCACTCCTCCGAGACGATATCCGGTATGAGAATGTCATCTCATATGCCAATCACTCTACTAAAACTCAACTTTCATAAAGAGATACACATATTTGGTACTTGATAGACACAATTAGAACATGTTCTTAGGTAACAAGTGCTGATTAATTTTATCCATCCATTTAGATGCAAGAAGTACTTAAGTGGCATAGTGGCATATCCTACCTGTTGTCATCCTAATTGTATATTGAAACAAGTCATACTACTAGGTTGTTTAGTAATTAAAAAAAATATCCAAAATTTGTTATCAACCTATGAAAAAATCATTATCATATTTGGCGTATGTTTTGAACTAGGAAAGGATATGGTTTTTTTTTTAATTGAAGAGAAGTAAATTCAAATTAAGGATGAATTGGGAGAAATAAGAAAGCAGTTTTTGCTTATATCGAGGATAAGATCAGGCAAAGAATTGGGTCGTGGAATAAAAACTGCTCTCATAGGCAAGTTAGGAAATCTTATTGAAAAGTGTGGTTCAAGTTATGCCTACCTTTTCAATGGGGGTGTTTTTGCTGCCTATATCGGTGTGCACGGCAATTGAGAGGACGATGAACCGTTATTGGTGGGGGTCAGGTACTGACGGTGGTATCCATTGGAAGGCATGGGATAAACTGTGTATCCTAAAAAGTATGGGGGCCTGGGTTTCAAAGATTTACGAGCTTTTAACCTCACAATGTTGGGCAAGCAGGCATGGCGAATGCTTACCAATTTTGGCTCGTTAGTGTCCCGTGTGTACCAGACAAGATATTATCCTAAACAGACCTTCTTTGAGGCATGTATAGGGAATAACCCCAGTTACTGTTGGTGTAGCATT